AGATCTGTCCTTTTTCTGGGAAGAGAGTAAAGGAGAACACAAGTTTATCCTACTGCCACCCTAAGACAGGTTAGGGGACAGCAAATGATAAGATCTGTCCTTTTTCTAGGAAGAGAGTAAAGGAGAACACAAGTTTATCCTAAAATCAGAAAATAGTATCAAACCCGAAGAATGTATAAGGTGTAAAGAAAACATAACTGTCAAATTTTAAAAGTTACCAGAGTTTTTTTTTTTTTTTGAGAGGTTTTTGCTATAGGGCGTGTACACTTGCCAGAAAGACAGAAAAAGATGGAGAGACAGAAAGTGAGAAATCACCCCCCAGGGACAATGGCCAAGCCGCAATCTCTTTTCTTACATTCTCCTCTTGGGACCTTGGTCACGCACACACACGCGCCTGGCGTGAGTTCAAGCCACTGGGTCTGGGACTCGAACTGCAGTTGACTACATGGGAGTCCAGTGACATAGCCATTACACTAACTGCTGGTCCCAAATTTTACAAGATTCTTAAAATAATTTACATTGTTAAATATCTCAGCGGATCCCACTGGTGAAAATTAAAGCATCGCAATAACCAAAATCGATTCCCAGCCATTAATTTCTACAGCTTAATTCAGATGATCAATAATGCTAGGTAGTTTGGGACCAGCAGTTAGCGTAATGGCTATGTCGCTAGACTCCCATGTAGTCGACCGTGGTTTGAGTCCTGGACCTGGTGGCTTAAACTCATACCAGGCGCGTGTGAGGGCGTGCCCAGGATCCCGAGAGGATAATGGAGGAGAAGGGATTGCGGCGTGGCCATCACCCCTGGGGGGTGATTTCTCGCTTTCTATCTCTCTGTCTGTCTCTGTCTGTCTGGCGAGCGCATGCGCCCTATAGCAAAATCCTCTCCAAATAAAGAAAAAATAAATAATGCTAGATAGTTTGATGGACTTTAAAATAAAGTTAATGATACACTTTAATGCTGCATCAAAATTAACTCCTATTACAAGTAAATTGAATTAGCTCTACACAGATTAAAAGCTATTTTTGTTGATATTATCCAATCTATTAGTAACGTAAATTTACAGCAGGTAAAGTTTTCTATAAATCCATAATTGGGGATTGGGACAAATTTCTTTGAGTACAGTGGTTTGTAAATTTGGAATTATGCATAATTAAAAAGAACAATTAAGAATAGGCTGAAAACCATAATAATTTATATTTATCTGATTATCTAAGTGGTACCTAGCAACAGTGCTGTGAGCTGCCATGACTTTGTCCTCTGCGTGGTGGGACCACTCCACTCTTTTTGTGCAGAATTGCTTTGGCAATATGGGGTCTTTTATGATGCCAGACAAACTTTATGATTGTCTTTTCTAGATCTGTGAAGAATGTGTCTGGTACTTTGATTGGCATTGCATTAAATTAGTAGATTAATTTGGGTAGAATTGCCATTTTGATTGTATTATTTCTTCCAATCCAGAAAAATGGGATATCCTTCCACTTTTTTGTATCATTTTCAATTTCTTTTTTTATCTTCTCATATTTTCCTTGTGGAGGTCTTTAACTTCTTTGGTTAGATTTATCCCTAAGTATCTTATACTTTCTGTGGTTTTGGTAAATGGAATAAAATTTTCAGTTCTATCTGATTCTGCCTATTGTTCGTATGTAGAAATGCTATAGATTTCTGTATATTAATTTTGTATCCTGCAACTTTACTGTATTCATGTATAACTTCCAGAAATTTTTTCATGGAAACCATTGAGTCTTCTATATATACAATCATGTCATCTGCAAACAGAGTTTCACCTCTTCTTTTCCTATTTGAATGCCGTTTATTTTTTCCTCTTTTCTGATTGGGTTGGCGAGGTCTTCCAGTACTACATTGAAGAGGAATGGAGAAAGTAGGCATCCTTGTCCTGTACCAGTTTTTAATGGAAAAAGTTTCAGCTTTTCTCCATTGAGGATGATGTTCACTACGGGTTTTTCATAGATAGCTTTTATTGTGTTGAGAAATGACCCTTCTATGCTGATTTTGCTTAGAGTCTTGATCATGAAGGGATGTTGTTTCTCGTCAAATGCTATTTCTGCATCAATTGAAATGACCATATGGTTTTTATCTTTCTTCCTGTTAATATGGTGTATTACATTTACAGTTTTGCATATGTTGAACCAACCTTGCATTCCTGGGATAAAGCCTGTCTGATCATGATGTATAATCTTTTTATAAGTTGTTGGATTCAATTTGCCAGTATCTTGTTGAAAATCTTTGCATCTATATTCATCAGGGATACTGGTCTAGAGTTTTCCTTCCTTGTCCTGTCCTTATCTGTTTTAAGGATAAGGGTGATAGAGGCTTCATAGAATGAATTAGGGAGAGATTCAACCTTTTGGATCTTTAGAAATAACTTGAGCAGAATGGGGGTTAACTCTTCTTTGAAAGTTTTGTAGAATTCAGAGGTGAATCCATCAGGACCAGGGCTTTTCTTTGTTGAGAGGTCATTTATTAATGATTCAATCTCCTGGCTTATTACGGGCCTATTCAGACTTTCTATATCCTCCTGACTCAATCTTGGTATATTATATGTGCCCAGAAATGTGTCCATCTCATTCAGATTGTCTTGTTTCTTGGCATACAGATGTTCACAGTATCCTCTAATAATGTTTTGTGTTTCTACTATGTCTGTTGTTATTTTGCCTGCTTCATTGCAGATCTGATTCACCTGGATCCTTTCTCGCTGCTTCTTAATAAGTCTCACTAGTGGTGTATCAATTTTGTTTATCTTTTCAAAGAGCCAGCTTTTACTTTCATTTATTTTCTGTTTAGTTCATTTATTTTCAATTTCATTTATTTCTGCTTGTAACTTTATTATTTCCTTTCTCCTGGAGTTTTTTTTTTTTTTTTTTTGGTTTGTTTTTGTTTGTTTGTTTGTTTGTTTGTTT